TTTCAACGGCGTTTTTCGGGGATTTCCGATTTCTTTCGAATTTTTTCGCAATAATATTCGGAAGATAGATAACTTTTGAAACATTTTAATACAAAAAAATTTTAGTCGGATTCCCCTTTTAATAGAAAATTTGTTTTTTTGCAAAAAGAAAAAAATTGAGAAAAAAAATGCTCAGATCCGATTATAGATTATCCAAAACTAGAAAAAAAACACAATTTTCTTTTTTTAAAGAATGCGAGATATTTTTTTCGAAAAAGTAAAAAAAAGCTAAAAATAAGAAAACCGAGAAACTCCATGAATTTTTTAAGAAGCGGAAAGTTTTTTTTTGCCATTTTTTGCTTTAAAAATAGATTTTCAGCGAAAATTTTGATGAAATTCTACTAAAATTTGAAATTAAAAATCAAAAAAGTATGGAAAATATAAGAATTTCCGAGTTTTAGAATTTTAGAATTCTGGAATTTCAGAATTTTTGAAATTCCAGCTAACAAAAAAACAGAAACTTCTAGAACAAACTAAATTCTGAAGATGTGAGCATCTTTTAAAGGTGAAAATGAGCAATGCGAGAGATAGAGAGACGCAGAGAAATGGAAGAAAACTGAAACGGCGGGGAGAAAATGAAGAAGAAGATGGAACCACCCTCTAATGAGATGAGTTTTTTTTCTTTTTTCTCCATTTCCACTTTCTCCTCCTTCATTTTCATCTTCATTTTCTACTTACACACACTTCAGCTTCTTTTTTTGCTACATGGGAATTCAGGGATTTCCATGAACCTGTAATAGAAGGACCTACACAGTCCGGTTTGAGCTTAATTATCTCGGTTCCTGTGAAAGATATCAAAAAGTGGTCAGCTGATATAATGTTAGTTGTTTTATGATAAACATTTTTTCAATTGACTATTTTTTCATATCTTTCATAGGAACCGAGATAAATTGGTTCAAAGTTGACAAGTTGACGCTTGCTGGCTGAGCCACACGGGGACTGCGGACCTCTTACCTTTAACTCAAGTTATCTCGGTTACTGTAAGAGATATCAAAAATTTGTCAACTGATAAATTGTTTATCATAATATCACCAACATTTTATCAGTTGACAAATTCTTGATATCTCTACCGGAAATTGAGATAATTGAGCTCAAAGTGCACATATAGGATTGTCTTTCGAGCACTTAGCACCCACCTCAAATAACCCAAAAATGACATTTTTAGGTCCACACAAAATATTAAAGTTTTGAACCCTGAGAGAATTGAACTTTAGTATTGTAGACTATATATTTTTGTGACAAAACCCATTGAGCCATGTGGGACACTTTTTTGAAAATCACTATTTTTGGTGAGGTTTTTGGTACACTGACAACTTTGAGCCAATTTATCTAGGTTACTGTAAGAGATATCAAGAAGTGGTCGACTGACAAAATGTTTACCATAATGTCAGCAACATTTTATCAGTTTACAACTTTTTGATATCTTTTACAGGAACCCAGATAATGGAGCTTAAAGTGTGCAAGTATGAGTGTGATGCAACTAGCTGGCTATGCGTGGCGCGCATTTCCAGCCCAGTTATCTCGGTTCCTGTGAAAGATATAAAAAAGTGGTCAACTGATAAAATGTTGGTCATTTTGTGATAAACATTTTATCAGTTGACAAATTTTCGATATCTGTCACTGGAACCGAGATAATAGAGCTCTAACTGAGCGCGGCTCGGTCGACGCCGCACGCAGCCAAGAAATTCAGATGGGAATTTTTGGAAATTCGAACAATCGAATCTGATAAAAACAGGAATTTTCGAGCATTTCAGATATTCTAAAAATTAAAAGTTCAAAGTTATTGAAATTCGAAAATCCCAGAAAATTTCGAATTCATAAAAACTCAGGAATCAAGGAAAAAAAGAAAAGATCCATAGAACAATAATTCATCAGACTTTCAAAAAATCTGGACAACACAATACGAAAAATGCGAAAATTGGTTGATATCAGGGCGGCGATAAAAATAAAGTCAAATTGAGGCGGTGAAAAATCGGCGGCAAATTCAAATTTTTTGAAAATGAGTCAGAAGGGTGGGTGTGTGTGTGGCCTAGAAAACCCCAGAAACCCGGCCACTTTCAGCCGATTTTCAGAGAAAAAATAAAAATTGAAAAATTGAGATTTTTAATATCATCCGGGTGTACTGTAGGAAAAAAGAGCCGGAGAAAAAAAAGTGAGATTCAGAGAAAAGACAGAATGACAAGGAATCGGCTAAAACGCGATTTAATTGGGCAATTAAAGGAGTGATTAGGCATATTGGAATTTCAAAAAATTCAAAAGAAATTTAGCAATTCTCCAAATCGAATCGGACACTTTTGCGTCGACCGCATTCTACAGAAGCCTTGTCTTCTTCGTGTGCGGTGGCAATGATGCTACGTTTGATGCCACGTGGCGTCCGTCTGAAATCCGCTGGAAAACGGTTAGAAATCGGTTGAAAATTGAGCAAAATCGAGTGATTTTGAGCAAAGGTACAACAATTTGAAATTTGCAGGCCTAGAATACTTCTAGTGGCCTTGAAATCCAAAATCAGGCCGTGGCAATGTTCCGATCGGTTTTAGCTCGACAAGAGATTCAAAATAAGTATAAACAAGCCTAGATTTGGTAATGTTTAGCAAACGCGCTCTAATGCTAAAATGGTCATAGCACACTCAGTTTTTGCTCAATTTGAATGCACACTAGTTCAAATGGTTTCTCTTGTCGTGTAAGCTTTAAAATGACTAGAAACTCGGCTAGATTTAATTTCGCCATATCTCATTCAGTGTTAGCTCAATTCGAATACAAATTTGTGCAAATTGTTTCACGAGTCGTGAGCTACACATTAAGCATAAAGAAGCCTAGATTTGGTGGGTTTTAGCAAACGCGCTCTAATAATAAAATGTTCATAACTCACTCAGTTCCTGCTTAATTTGAATAAAAACTAGTTCAAATGGTTTCTCTTGTCGTAAGCTTCAAAATGAGTACAAACACGCCTAGATTTGGTTATGGTCAGCAAACGCGCTCCAATGCAAAAAACTCACTATTCAAGCTATCCCCATTTGCCGTCTTCTTTTTCAAAACTTCTTTCTCCTGCTTCTCTTCCTCCAGAATCTCTTTTTTGACCTCTTTTTCTGTAGAATCCCCCATTCTGGCGATAATTCCACGTAGATCATGATTCGATTCATCGAATAAGTGCTGAATTTGACTACGAGCCACTCGAGTGTCCATTTCAGCATATTTGGGTTCTTTCGAGACGACGCGATAGAATTTTTCGAATTCTTCGATTTCCGTTTCACTATCCGAATTCTGGAAATGCTGTTTTTTTGGTAATTGGTCTCTATCTGTGTGTCCGGATGTCCGGATGGAGCTAGAGCACCTATTTTTGGACCAAAAAAGTGAATTTTGACTTTTTTTCAGATTTTCTGCCAAAAAAGTTGGAAAATTGAAGTTTTTGATACAAGTAAAAGTTGTATTAAAAAGCAAAAAATCGAAAAAAAAAGATTTTTCTTCGATTTTTTTGCAAAATTTTCAGACCTTTTTAGGTTTTTCAGCTATTTTTAAAGGTTCTTATTCGATTTTTCCGAAGTTTTTCGTCTGAAATTTGATGGAACGGTTCTTGATTACTGTAGAAAACATTGTAGTTTGTAGTTTATTTTGTGAAAACAAACCCACGTCGAATTTCGACATGATTGTGTTCGTGAGAAAAAAAAAACTACAAACTACAAAATTTTCTACAGTAATCTACAGTAATCCAACACCGTTCCATCGAATTTCAGGCGAAATAATTCGAAAAAATCGAAAAACAAATTTCGAAAATAGCTGAAAAACATAAAAAGGCCTAAACATTTTGCAAAAAAATCAAAGAAAAAATACAGTTCTCTTTCGAAAAATCACAAAAAAAAAATGAAAATTTTATGAAAAATCGAATATTTCGGTTCTTCAAAATTGAGCCGAAACTGACTTTTTGGCTCAACAAATTCGATTTTTTTTAAAATTTTTAACCTACCGTAAAACCTGCAATAGAAGGGCTTTAATACTGACAAGTTTGAGCACAATTATCTCGGTTCCTGTGAAAGATATCAAAAATCTGTCAACTGACAAAGTTTTTCATAAAATGACCAACATTTTATCAGTTGACCACTTTTTGGTATCTCTTACAGGGACCGAGATAATTAAGCTCAAACTTGACATTGTTGGGGCCCTTCTATTACAGGTTTTACGGTAATTGTTCATTTTCCTTACAATTTCTCACCTTCTGCTCGATTTTCTCATTTATTCTTGGAATCAATCCTTGTGACTTCCCAATCAATTGATCAATTCGTTCTAATTGATTCTCATTCAATTCCTCCGAATATTTCTTCTCAAATCTCATCAATCCATTTACATATTCCTGTACTTGATCCCTCCATGAAATCAAATATTCCAGAATTCGTGGTGTGGATTTTGCCACTTTCTCGTATTCCATAATTTTCTCTTCTGGTGATAAACTGGAATCTGGGAAGATGTGATCGACGAGTTTTGTGGCTGGAGGGCGAGGGAAATCGGGAAAGAACTCGAATGATTGGATGGATGTGGTACATTGGGTCAGGATTTCCAGAAGAGTCACTGAAATTGGGGTTTTCTAGATTCAAAAATAAACTTTTTGGACCAAAAATGATGAAAATGAGTCATTTTGAGCCGAAAATGACTTTTTTGGAATTTTTGGAATCAATTTTAGAAAGTTCCAAAATTTCTGATTTTTTCTGAAAATCTGAATTTCTAATTTTCAGAAATTCAGAAATTAAGAAATTTAGGAATTCAAAAATTCGGAAATTCAAAAATTCAGAAATTAGGAAATTCAGGTATTCAGGAATTCAAAAATGCGGAAATCCAGAATTTTCGAAAATCTGAAATCCAGGTATCCAGAAACTCAAAAATTCTAAAATTTTTTTCTAAAAACTCTAAAAAATTCTAAAAACTCTAAAAAATTCTAAAAACTCTAAAATTCTAAAAAAATGAAAAATTCTAAATATTTCAGGAATTTTGGAATATGAAATTCAGATTTTTTTGTAGAATTCGAAAGTAAAATCAGAAAAAAATGGAATCATCATTGATTTTTTGGTTTTTTTCGTCTGAAAATGACTGAAAATAACTGGAAACAAGCTGAAAATCGTCAGAAACAAATCAAAAACCCCATAAAATCAGTAAGAATTGCTCAAAAATGACCAGATGGTTCATTTTTGAAATTTTGGTCATTTTTGGCTCAAAATGACTCACTTATCTTCATTACTATTTGAATTCTCGCCAAAACTGGAAAACCCGAAAATTAGCGGTTTTTTGCGATTTCTCGAGAGAAAAATGGAATTTTTCTCCGATTTTTTGCAAAATTTTTAGACCTTTTCAGGTTTTTCAGCTACTTTTGAAGATTCTTTTTCGATTTTTCCAGTTTTTATTGTCTGAAATTCGATGGAACGGTGTTTGATTACTGTAGAAAACTTGTAGTTTGTAGTTTTTTTTGCAAATACAATCCTGTTTCGACATTCGGCATGGGTTTGTTTTCGAAAAATAAACTACAAACTATTACTCTCGTCCGAAATCAATGCACGTTGCGGCCGAAAATTTACTCGAAATCACATCGTCGGTCGCACAGCGAAAAAACAAATTGATGCATGCGCCTTTAAATACCGTACCTCGGACGCTTTTTATTTTGGGCCCTATTTGGCTGTTTTTTTCTATTTTATAAGAAGAATAAATTAAAGATTTATAAGAATTAGACAAAATTAGACAGAAATAAGCGAAAAAGTGAGAGAGAAAAGGCAAAAATTCGATAAATATAGAGGTACTGTATTAAAGGCGCGTGCAATCATTTGAAAAATACAGTAGGGTTCTCTCCGTGGGAGCTAAGCTCCGCCCACCGTTGTTTTCTCGGCCGCAACGTGCATTGATTTCGGAAAAGAGAAATACAAGATTTTCTACAGTAATCTACAGTAATCAAACAGCGTTCCATAAAATTTCAGACACAAAAAAAAATCGAAAAAGAATCTTCAAAAATAGCGGAAAAAACTAAAAAAGTCTAAAAAGTTCGCGAAAAATCGGAGAAAAAACGCAAAAATCATTAATTTTTCAGAGTTTTGGCGGGAATTCAAAAATAGATTCCAGAATTTTCCAGAAGCTTTCAGAAATGGACGAGAACTGAGATTTTTTCGATTTTTTTTTTTGCAGAATTTCCATCAATTCTCATTACATACTAATTGGAATTTCTCTGAACATTGGCACTGCCAACAGTGTGTTTTTCTCCAATTCCTGCACTAATTCCTTATGGGTCTCCTCAAAATCCGGCGCAATTTCCGCCAATTTTTCCAGCGAATACCCCAGAAACTCTTCGGAAGCATTTGATTCATCCTGCAAATTTTTATGCGATTTTAAAAAGAAATTTTGAAATATTTACTTCGAAAAATTTCTTAATCTCCCATGCCGACACTTTGATGGGTGTCTTGTGCAAGTGTCTTCGAATCAACGCGTCTGGAGACATTTCGTCGTCTGAAAATCAATAAATTTTGTTGAAAAACGTCGAAAATTCCGAGAAATTACCTTTTAGATCCATTTTAGAGGAACGAATGCGAGAAAGTGATAAGAGAAAAGGTGGGGAACCGTGCGGCAGAGTTGCGGAAATTGTGCGCAGGGGTTGCAAGTTGGAGGCTCCGCCCACTTTTTAGCGAATTTCTCGTTGAAAAAAAGCGAAAATCGCTGAAAATAGATGAAAAAAAGTTGTTTTCGTGTTATAAACTGAAGAATATTTTTTTTTTAAATTTTCAGGTCACAAATATTGAAAATATAGCCGAAAATCGCTGGAAAAAAATATTGAAAAGTGGTTTTTCTTGTTAAAATTGTTTTCAAATGGAAAATGATAGTTTTAGGTCAAAAATGTTGTAAATATAAGCGAAAATATAGGTAAAAGTTCGAGAAAATCAGGAAAACTGAACAAATTTTTTTTGATTTTCTGGATGAAATTGGAGAAGAACAAATGAAAAAAGCTGATGAAAATTTTTTAATTTTCTGGGAATCCGCCTAAAAAGAGTTTTGTAAAAAATTTAGGCCAAAAAAAACGAGAAATTTCGGCACAAGTCTTCCCAAATTTCTGAGCATTTTTCTATACGAAATTTGGATTTCTGCCTTCTCTTCTCGGGCGGTAACTAATGGAAACTGCAAAATGCAGAAGAGTAAGCGAATTGAAAACTAGGGAAGCTCACAAAATCAAAATAATATATACTAATAAGAGGATTACTGAAATATGAGAGCATTGAGGGGAGGGGAAAATGGATAATGAGGGAGTTGCTAGAATGTTATGTTTGGGTGAGAAGTAAGGTGGAGAGGAGGGTTGAAGGGAGAAAGTTGAAAAATAGCTGAAAAAACATTTTTTTTTTTCTGTTTTATTTATTTTCTCATTGTTGAAAAAAATTGATGAAAGGAGGGTTCTGATTTGTATGAAAGTAGAGATTTTATTCAAATAAAAAAAATCGGTCGAACAGGGATCACTTATCATTATTTATTAAATCTAATCAAATTGGATTTTTAAGTTGAAAAAAATGATCAAATTTCAATGTGCATAGAGTAAGGGGGGGGGGGGATTCAGTGAGAAGCAAATCAGCAAATTGCTGGTTTTTTCCTTATAGGAGGAAGAAAAACCAGTAATTTGCTCCGATTGCCGGAGTTTTCTAGGTCATTCCTTGTCCTCGTGGAGCTACACGACCAGTCTGAACGAGACCCAAGCAGGAAAAAATTCCATGCGCCTTTAATGTTGAAGCGATTTGCAGCTCAAAAATTGAAGGCGCATGGAATGTTTTCCTGCTTGGGTCTCGCTTAGACTGGTCGTGTAGTTCCACGAAGACAAGTCATGGCCTAAAAAAACTCCGGAAATCGACCCCAGCAAACTGCTGATTTGCATACTTGCGACCGGGAACTTGCCGGGTTCTTCGCGGGCCTTGCCATAGTTTCTTTCAGAAGCAATATTTTTACATCAACTAACTTAGATCTGATAGAACTTGGCGAGTACTACAAAATGATACTATTTAGAAAACTGTGGCTTGTCTATGAACAAAGCATACATGTGGATGACCGGGTCGGGCCGAGCCGGGCCGGCCCGCCTGCCTGCCTCAAAACCCTCGGCCCGCCTAGAACAACTTTTCGAAAATTTTACTTTTCAACTGTGCCAAAATATTTTTAATAGCAAAAATATTAATCCAAATGCATACAACCATCCGAGAAAGTCAATTTAATTGAATTTTTAGCAAAAAAATCAAACTTCATTAAGTCAAGGATGAAAAAATTTCGAAATTTTCAAAAAGCGGGCTGGCCATGTGTAATTTTTTCCGGCCCGGCCCGGCCCGCTTTCAGAAAAATCCCGGCCATGGCCCCGCCCAGCCGCCCCCTGTCCGGCCCGCGGGCAGGCCATCTTTAACACAAGTATGGAACAAAGTTACAAGTCATAAAGTGGCCGGGCCGGGCATTGGTTTTTTGGCTGTAACTTTGTTCATAGACAAGACACAGTTTTCCAAATAACATCATTTTGTAACATTCGCCGAGTTCTATCATCTGTAATTTAGTTGGTCAAAAAATATTGATTTTAAAAGAAGCTATGGCAGATCCCGCAAAGGCCCGGTCACAAGTATGCTGATTTGCTTCTTATTGAGTAACCCCCATAATAGAGCCAGAACCTTGGTTAACGTGTCAAGCAACATAAAAAAGCAAACAAGGAAAACACAGTTACAAAAAGTGTCGATTATGAAAGTCTAGAATTCCAATCAAACATGAAGAATATATCCCTCTCCACTTTCACAGAGGCAATCAATCCATCAGATTCTCTCACTATATCGAATGCATTCGTGCAGTTCAGCAAATCGAAATTGAAACAATCGAGATCAAAGTAATTTGAGAATTGAGGACCACTGAATTCTTCGAACTGGAAAACTCTTCCAAGTCTGTAACAACATTATGGTGTTGAGTTCGGTGAATAGAAATAACTTACGGTGCACTTTGAACATATCTAGCTGGTCTCTTCTTTGGATCCCATCTTCTGGTCTGGATTCCATCAAATAATATGTCTTCCCTAATACCATTATAACTAGCAATTATCATTGTTTCCAAGTTGGTATTGTCGCTGTACAACCAGTGTTTCAAACATGAATTCAAATGTTGTGTTGTATTCTCGTGTATATAAATAAAAGCATTTTTCCCTTTGAATCAAGTAAATTGGTGTGCATGAACCCATCGACTCGAAATCAATACATTTGGGATGTTCCAAAGTTTTGAGTCATCTCCCAAAAATCCTTTGATATACTGATAACGTACAGACAAACGCTGAATGTCAGCCTTCTCAAAAAGCTTTTCTGCAATTGTGGGATCCATGGGATTCACTTCATCACGGCAAGTTTGTATATAGAGACCCTTGATTGTTAGAGATTCGGGGAGATCTGAGAGATCATTTAAATTCAATATCATTTCCAAATCGGGAGTTGTCCGGAATAGTTCTACACAATATTTCTGAATTTCCATCGGCCATTTCTTCATTAGATGCTTTTCGAAGTATAAAGTTGGAATTCCAGATTTTGGATCAACGAAGTACTGAAAAAAATATTAGAATCATCTACATTATCCGTGATTTTCGGCTATTTTGACCGGTTTCACGAGTCTGGAGCTGTGTCGGATCGCTTCGAAAATCATGGAGAGGGTAAAACAGACCTTGATTGTAAACTTTGCTTTTACCAAATTTTTCATAAATTCCTTCTGTTTTCCGATTCCCGAAAGACATCTTTTTTCAAGTTTTCAGTACGAAATCGGAAATTAGCTGGAAAACTAGGAATTTCCAAAGATTCTATGAGTACACAGTTTTGAATCTAGGTCTGTTTTACATCCTCCAAAATTTTCAAAGTGATTGTAAACTTGTCAGGAGAGTTCCAGGCTCCTGAAAATAGCTGAAAATCAACTGAAAATACGTATCAATTCTAGTTTGCTCTAGCTCAATTTTGAAATTTTTTGAAAATTTCCGGATTACTGTAGTAGGTCTAACTGTCCGCAAACATTGCGAAAATGTCATTTTGAACAGCTTTCGACGCCAAATTGGTCGAAACTCACGAATTGAGCTTGAAATCTCGAAATTTCAAAAATTCAGTGTTCGCGTTCTTTCGAAGCTACAGTAATCCAAAACTGATGACAAATGCGAAAAACAGGAAAGGAAAATGTTCGGAAACTTGACAGCTCGAGTCTCCTGAATATCGCCGAAACGACCGAAAATGGGACCCAACAATGTAAAGTTTGAGTTCAATTACCGCGGCTCCTATAAGAGATATCAAAAATGTGTCAACTGATGAAATGTTTGTGATATTATGATAAACAATTTATGAGTTAGGAACTTTTTTATATCTTTCACAGGAACTGAGGTTAATTGGCTCAAAGTTGACGGTTTGTTTGAGCTTCTATTAGAGAAAATACGGGGATTTTCAGTCATTCGAAGAGACCTGGCAGAATATTTAAAACAAAGATTTTGACAAACAGAGCCGATTGAAACTGTGAGCAAGGCTGCGCAGGAGCGAAAAGTGGAATCGTTACGGTAGCCGAACAAAGAAGCACATACTACCGCAGGCTACCGTAAACACTCTGACAGAAGGCCACCCACAAAAAACCAATTTTGAGCCCATATATCTCGATTTCTGTCGAAGATAACAAAAAGTAGTTACTGTCAAAACGTTTATCATATTATGAAAAGTATTTTGCCAGTTGACTTCTTTTTGATTTCTTTCACAGGAATCGAGATACCGTATTTCCTCTAATAGAAGCCCCGACACAGGTGATTCGCGAACAATCCGTTACGGATTCTCCGCCATTCGCGCGCGGATGAAATAGGAATCGTATACGGACCGTACGCGAATCCGTAACGGATCCGTTTGCAACTTATTTCTTGAAAACCCCCGCCGTTCCTTTTTTCAGTTTCTATTATTTTTTGCTGAGTTTTCATGATAGTTGTATACATGTATTCAACAATTTATTAGGACAACATGTAAAAGAAAGAAAAAACATCAGAAGTACAACATTAAGTTCGAAAATTTATCAAAACCCTGCTTTTTTGGGTTGTTGAACGACCATCCAAAACGAAAAGAGATCTGCAAAAAATTTGGGAATCTTTCAGAACATGTAGCATACTGATCACCTATTACTTATATCCTTTTTTGCTTTTGGGTTCCAATGTTTTTCTCGTTTTTAACGTTGGAATCGGCTTGCTCTATAGATGTCCATTGCTGAAAAGTGGAAAAGTCATTGTTTCGAAAATTAGCGTATTTTATACTTACATTCGTCAAGCATCTTTCCTGGAGCAAACGCGAGCATCGAATCAATCATTTTCGGTCATTTTGCTCACGAAAAGGTTAAGTGATACCTATAACAAAACCTGTGTTTCGAAGAATAAATTTGTGTTACAAACCTTTTTTCCTTGTAGAATCGTCTTTCGAAAAAAAATCATCGTCAAAAATCAACATATTTGCCAGGAAAAGTGAGAGAAAACGGCAAAAAATAGGTTTAAAATGCAAATAAATGATGCAAAAATATGATGGAAGAGGTAAGAGAAAGCTAGTCCCTCACAACTCGGCCATCCGTAACGGATTCGTTCGCGAATGCGCAAGGGAACTATCTCTCGACCTCCAGCTGCATCCGTATCCGGTCCGTTCGCGAACTCCGTATCCTGTCCGATTGCGAATGTTGAAAAAACGGATCCGTTCGCGAACTCAGATTCGCGAAACTGTCCGTAACGGACCCATTACGGATAGAAAACCTAGTGGACACCGAAACGGATCCGTTCGCATTTTACCTGTGGATGGGCTTCTATTTTTCAACCTCTTTCTCAGGGTGGGCTTATACTAGAGGAGGGATTCAATTAGAGGGTGAGCCTCTATTTTTCAACAATTGATTTTTTTTAAAAATTGGGTTCAAAAATCAGAAATTTGTCAATTCGGAAGTTAGGAATTTTGAAATTCGGTGTTTTTTTTTCAATTCGAAGTTTTCCTTCTACAATTCGAAACTCCAAATTTCGGAATTTATGAAATTCTGAGATTCCAGAATCTCAAAATTCAATATTTAGGAACTCTGTGGATGAGAAATTGAGAAATTTAAAAATTGAGAAAAAGCCCATGGGCTTCTATTAGAGGGTGGGCTTCAAATAGAGGTGGGTTTCTATTAGAGGAAATACGGTATATAGGTTCAAAGTTGACTGCTCGGGTTGCCTTCTATCAAAATGTTTAAAGGTGGTGTACGGTGAAATTTTTTATTGCATCAAAATGTGCAGAAATGCATGTAGATTGACATAAAAATAAAGAAAAAATTCAAAAAAAATTCCTTCGGCGAGAAAAACGCATCGAAAAATACGCTGAAAGCCCTTAGGGACGAGTTTTTTTCTAGGCCGCCCGGTGAGTAAAAGCGCGCGAATTCAAACTTTTAAAATGTTTTCGCTCGTTTTCACTTTTTTTTCGGTTTTTTCAAGAGTTTTCTAGGTTTTTGTCAATTTTTCTTCC